ATTAAAAAAGTGCAAGTGCAGATACGAAGCAGAATGCACTTTGTGAAGTATTGTACAAAATGTTTGCGCGAATATTTTGACGTTATGTTTTGTGCATTTTCAGAGTTTTGCGGGACTTTGTGTAGTAAACATTTAAGTTCCGAATTTAAAGTGGATTTTTTTCAACATAACTTCATACAAAGCGAAGTAAATAGTTTTTAGTTTAAACTTGAAGAACTTGCAAGGAAGATGGCACAAAAAAGTTCTACATTTATCTTTACATTATTAAAGACAAAAATCTTAACAGAAGTCCAACATGAAGACTTACCATTAGGTTAATTAACAATACAGATGGAACACTAGATGTCGTCTTTTCAAGTTGTAGAGATTTCTCGTTCACAATAACACTGAGGCAGAGGACCATATGAGTTACGCGCATGCTCTCTTTCTGTTTTGTAATTCAACGTCGCATGCGCGTAACTCCTTTGGACTGTTGCCTCAAGGTAATTGTGAACGAAAAAAATCCTTAAAATATCCTAAATCCTGAAAAGACGACATCTATTGGTATATCTGTATTTTTATTATTCTATGCATCTAACCTATTTTAATGTCATAGAAATAATCAAATGAGAATTAAGATTTATAAATTCCTAACTTTAAAGAGGTTATTAACGTATTTTTAAGTGATCCTTATAAGAAAAATGATTACAGCAGTAGTACACACTTTCCAGTAAGTTTAACATTAATGAAGGAATGACGATATAAACGTCGTCTTTTACTCTTTTTGGTCCCAGGTTGTTTTACAGAAATACGACAAAACAGCAAAAATATTAGACATCGTTTCGTGATATAAAATCTTAAAGTTCTTTTCTTAATTTATTATTTAATAAAAATTTTGTTAAAGTGATTCCTTTTTATTTTAAATAGTATTCAAAAATCGCATTCAAATATATAAATAAATACTTTTCTACGCATTCGGAAGTCCTGTTCTCAAATAAAGCAAAAAAAAGAATTTCAACAATTTTTTAATAAAATTTTTATTTTAAAAGAATAATTTTATAAAAAACCTCACCCTCACCTTCCCCGCCTACTCAGGGTTAAAATCATTTGACTTCTATTTACACAGTATTCAATGATGAGATCATGGTATCATGTTAAAAACAATTAACACCTAGATTCATCGGACTCTGTATTCCTAAAACTCCACCTCACAAGTTTACAACTCAACTTTTTAAACTTCATAAATTACTTCAAGAAATAATTTTAACACTAGGGGGTGGTATGCACTATACAGGATGGTGCCTAGCTCTAACTTGGGGTTTTGGGACATAGAAGAAAGTTTTAAAATATCGAATTATTTATTAACAGCATAAATCGTATATAAAAGTCGCAGAAAATACAGTATTCGTTCAATTTTTACGTATTTTGTCGTTTAAGTTTCGGAATGACCTGAAGTTGTTGATCTCCATTTTATGCAAATCTGCGGATTAAATCAATTCCTCTTCGGTATCCGGTAGTGGTCGTATCCAGCAGGGATAAATAAAATAAAAATGACCACATTGAATATCGACATCAAGCATTCAAGATGCTGGATACTCAGCACAATAGTTCCCACATTTGATGCAGGATACTCAGCACAATAGTTCCCACCTCTGATGCAGGATACTCAGCACAATAGTTCCCACATCTGATCCAGGATACTCAGCACAATAGTTCCCACATCTGATGCAGGATACTCAGCACAATAGTTCCCACATCTGATGCAGGATACTCAGCACAATAGTTCCCACATCTGATGCAGGATACCCGGCACAATAGTTCCCACCTATGATGCATTCAGCACAATAGTTCCCACATCTGATGCAGGATACCCAGCACAATAGTTCCCACATCTGATGCAGGATACTCAGCAAAATAGTTCCCACCTCTGATGCAGGATACTCAGCACAATAGTTCCCACATCTGATGCAGGATACTCAGCACAATAGTTCCCACCTCTGATGCAGAATACTCAGTACAATAGTTCCCACCTCTGATGCAGGATACTCAGCACAATAGTTCCCACCTCTGATGCAGAATACTCAGCACAATAGCTCCCACCTCTGATGCAGGATACTCAGCACAATAGTTCCCACATCTGATGGGACGTTATAAAACTTTACAGAGTTGTGTGTACTGCCGTGTTTATCTTCTACCCCCACACAGAATGTAAATAAGCTAATAAATTTATTATCATTCCAAAAATTGCAGTACATTTTGGGCTCCACAGTTATGATTAGACCCAACAAAGCACTCCGAATTTAATAATAAAACATTGATTTCAATTTTAAAAAGAAAAAGAAAAATCTTTTTTTAAATGTTAAAATTTGTATTTTTAACCCTATTCCTGCTGGGGGGGGGGACCCCCCAGTGTATCCTGGTTTTCAAGTACCCCAGCATGGATAGGGTTGAATGAATATATTTTATGATTTTATGCTTGATATTGACGTAGCATATTATTTCTTTACAATCCCTGTACTCTGTACTCTGTAACTAGCGAAGATAAAAATGTTGTAAATCAAAAAAAAACTATAAACAACAAAATAAATCAACGTTTGCTATAAAAATATCATAAAAGTTAAAACAAAAATAAAGGATTTCGCAAAAAAATATTGATTGAAACAAATGCTTCTACATAATCGGTCCTGAAATATTAAACTATTGATCCTGCAATTATCGTTTACGAATACTAATAAATAAACCCGTTGCACGATCATGAAACAAAATACTTTTAAACCTGGAAATCACGCAAAATATCGGGAATTAAGTTACATCAAAGTTTTATTAACGTTTTGAAGCATCTTTTCTTCAAAAAATCATTAAATGAGCAGAAAAGTTAAAAGGAATCAATAATTTTTCACTTGAACCCCCTGAGGCCAGAATTACTGAATAGCAAGAAAAATATGAACAACTTATTTATAAATTACTTATCTAGTGTTGCCATGCCTAAGCAATGGTTCAATATAGAAGTAGCAAGTTAAATTGCTTCTCTAGTGTGGCTGAAGTAGCAAATAACAACTGGTTCTCTAATGTGACCAAAGAAGCAAATATCAACTTGTTCTCTAGTGCGACCGAAGTAGCAAATATCAACTGGTTCTCTAATGTGACCAAAGTAGCAAATATCAACTGGTTCTCTAATGTGACCAAAGAAGCAAATATCAACTGGTTCTCTAGTGTGACCAAAGTAGCAAATATCAACTGGTTCTCTAGTGTGACAAAAGTTGCAAATATCAACTTGTTCTCTAGTGTGACCAAAGTAGCTAATATCAAATGGTTCTCTAGTGTGACCGTAGTAGCAAATATCAACTGCTTCTCTAGTGTGACCAAAGTAACTAAGATCAATTGCTTCACGCTTATTATTGAATCCTACCTCTGATTATTACGATTTTTATTTATGATTTTTTTCAAACTTTGAATTTGGTAATAAAAAGAATGAAGCGATAAAACGTAAAGGATAAAATTAAAATTTATATTCATATAAAGTGTCAGATTTCAAAATGTTTAATTATTCAGACTTATTATTTTAGACTTTTCAGCACATAAAGAATAATTCAAAATTATGATACAGGGTGTCCCACGAAACCTGACAGTTGGTGAATAGTTTAAAATGTCTTCTTCCCTAATTTTGTTGTTTGATACCAAAGCTAGACAATAATAAAAATATTATATGGGAGTCATGTTACAGTAAAATTGATTTAAAAGTAAAATATATTCAAGCAAAAGATTTTTTTAACGAAATAAACTACAAAAAGCCTTTAATATTTAATACAGTATATGGAAGACGACATTCATATCTATTTATCAATTGTCATGTTTCGTGGGACACCCTGTAGGTTTTGTAACACATTATATTTTACTAGATATGTGATATTGGAAAAATTAGGAAAAAGTAAGAAATTTATGTTTAAAACATCTGTTATTGCAATTAGACAGAAAGGAACAAATCGGGTTGCAAAGATGTATGGAGTAGAAATTTTGTTTGTGGCAAAAACTCAGTTTCTTTGTTTAAAAACCTCAGCATCTTTAGAAATTTTGAATTATAGTAGTTTAGATTTTATACAATTTAAATCAGTTTTAATCAATAACTTTTATTCAACACTTCAGCTGTCTTTTAAGGGTATGATTCATTTGGCGAGTTTGATATTTTCTTAGAAAAAATAATTAGTTCAAACTGACGAAATCATGATTTATGATAATGAGAGCTACATTTTACATTCACCTCATGGAATCCTAATTTCAAGTTTCTATGTTTAAGTGTGAACAGAGCCAAAATTTAACGAGTTCAACTCGTGAATAAGAGTTGAACTGCATACATATGCAAATATTTTTTTTAACATTTGTTTTTCTAAATCTAATTTTTAAGGAACAAAGATAGATTTTTTTAAAATTCATATCTTTTTTGCTTGGATCAAGAACAAGGGGGCTATGGTGGCTAAGCCCCCCCTGGACAAGTGAAATCTATTGATTTCAGAGGTTTTCAGGCCCCAGTGGGTGCTGGAAAGGAAAAAAAATTTAAGCTGCCCCCCTGGACAAATACCTGAATACGCCCCTGAATTATAATAATGACAATAGTTTTTTCGTTAACGTATTTGTATTTTTTATATCTGTTCAATATTACGGTTTCTCTAAACTCCACCATAAGTCTTTCTTTTTAATTTTGATGTTTGTTATGATGAATTCAGTTTTTTATTTTCATTTGTTTTTGAATATTCTGTCATTATAGATTTCTCTGCACTGCTCTTTGTCGCTACTCTTACGTAACCATTAACCATTTGGAATTATTTAAATAAAAATATTTACATATTTTCTTCAGTTTTGCTATCTTTGCTATCTTAGTTATCACCTACCATCAGAATTCATGGAAATTTAAACCAGTTAAACGCAAATTACTCGCAATTTTATCCGTGCAAAATATTGAATTCCTCATTTTAAATTTTGATATCAATTTTCGGGATAAATCATTCCGATTAGGATTTCAGTACCTGAATTTACTCCGGAACTATTTAATCTTTTTTCTCACTTTTGCACAAATCTAGATTCACGAGGATTGGTTATAATGTAGCGAGCTCTGCGCTACGTCTCTCCTGTTGGGGAATGCGGGATGAAACTGATGAAAAAGCGCGCTAAATTGTCCGCGTAGATTGAAATCCTCCAGATCATTTTGGCGCGACTCGTCATGCTGCCCTATCCAGCAGGCAGTCGGAGAATACGATCCGGTACACCACATTTAGTCAGGCCTTTTTTGTATAAAGGATATTACAGCAAAAAGAATGTGTTGCTTTTTATGTTTTATAATTTATGAGACGGGTTCACGGAAAGGCCGTGTAAAACCAATATAAACCATTGGGTTTGAGCATTAATACATGTTTGTTACACTTTTTGATTGTTTTCGCTCTTATACCAACTACAATTCTTTTCTCATGCATTTATTTTTTCTGGTTTTCTTTTCCCAGTTTTGCATGATGCGATATATATTTATCTGCAAGGTGTCCCTTTGTATTTCTGCATGCGATCAGTGTTCAAAGAGTTTGCAAAGATCAGTATTTGCAAAGTTACGAATTTACCAACCTTTGAAATTGATCCCTTCCAGGCAAATATATAGATAGATACATAGCAGACTATTCATCAGATATATATATACACTCAGAGATAGATGGATAGATAGATATATAAATAGAAATATGTTTAGAGGTAGATGGATAGATAGATATATAAATAGAAATACGTTTAGAGATCGATGGATAGATATTTATATAGGTATGTCTGATTACCAACAGTGCTCTTCAAACCTATACCTGGTCAAGGATGAATGAGTTATCCTTATTTTTCGCCTTTAACATCAGTTAAGGCGGATTTGCTGCACAGACAATGGAGGAAATTATCATAATTTAATTCTTTATTTAGACAGAAAAACAATTATATCTTCTTTATGAATACTCAAATAGAGGTTTTTAAAGTATGCCTGTAAGTGAAGAGATATTTGAAATTACAGCCCCTTTAAAAAAGAAAATTGAATAAATTCATGTCCTAGTTGGTTCTAAATGTTAACTTCTGAGTGGTCATACACAAATCGCAATTGTTTACAAATTGATACACCCAAAAGGAGTAATCCTTAAAGTAATCTAATTTGGAATTGAATAAATTCATGTCCTAGTTGGTTCTAAATGTTAACTTCTGAGTGGTCATACACAAATCGCAATTGTTTACAAATTGATACACCCAAAAGGAGTAATCCTTAAAGTAATCTAATTTGGAATTGAAAAAATTGGTTGGAATTATGTTCGAGAAAATCAGAAAAAAAACTTTCCTAGCAACGAGTCACAGAGTTCAAAACAAAGAACACACTAGTTTAAAATGTCAATTTAATAACAAAATGGCATTTATAATGGCTGATGTTATTAAAAATCTTTCAAAATAGATTTTTTTTATTATTGAATGTAAACAAAAAGATAAATTTTTAACATATTTATTTTTAAAGCCTGATGAGGCAATCACGTGTTTTTAATTTGCAAATCTTAAGACAGATTGAAAAAATGTACTTAAAAAAAGTTGAGCAAAAATAAAAAATGTCAAGTTATAATCTATACAACTCAAGATGACGAGATTAATTAGGTGAGAAACATGTTTGCGAACTTTATAAATTATGAAGTTAGCAGAGACTGGAACAATTCCAATTTAACAATTGTTAAACAGGATGGTTTGGTTTGGCTTAAAAGACATTTTTGGACTTTCTGAGATTTAGATTTGTAACAATTATTTAGGGTCACTTGGAGTTTATATTAGCAACATTCATCAAGGGGAACTTGGAGTTTAGATTATTAGCATTCATCCAGGGTAACTTGGAGTTTAGATTATTAGCATTCATCCAGAGTAACTTGGAGTTTAAATCAGTAGCATTCATCCAGGGTAACTTGGAGTTTAGATGTATAGCATTTATTTAGAGTAACTTTGAGTTTAGATAAGTAGCATTTATTCAATTAAACTTGGATTTTAGATAAGTAGCATTTAGTCAATTTAACACTGAGTTTAGATAAGTAGCATTTATTCAGGGTAACTTGGAGTTAAGATTAGAAAGCATTTATCCAGAGTAACTTTGAGTTTAGATAATTAGCATTCATCCAGGGTAACTTGGAGTTTAGATACGAAACATTTATCCAGAATAACTTGGAGTTTAGCTAAGTTGTATTTATTTAATTTAACTTGGAGTTTAGCTAAGTAGTATTCATGTAATTTAACTTGGAGTTTAGCTAAATAATATTCAAGTAATTTAATTTGGAGTTTAGCTAAGGCAAACTAGCATTTTTTTTTACTAACTTAGTGTTTAGATAAGTACAGGGGACATTAATTCCAAAACTAACACTTGGCCCATTTCTAACACTGAGTGGTAGAAATGGGCATGAGTAGAAAGACTGGGTTTCTAGGATCCGGGCCCATATCGAGTGTAAAAGTTAAAGATAAAATCTATAACCAACATTTTAATAAGCATGACGCGAGGACAACAATTCCTAATTTTAAACTATTTTCTGAAAGCAAAATTATAAAAGGAGTTGTTTTTATGTTAAAACGATTGACAAATTTTAAGACAATGTCCGATTTTCCATTTTTCGAACATATCCTGAAATTGAATCATTGTCGCGTTTTCGAGACAAAACCCACTTTCCCGTTATATTAGCAGTTCAAAACAAAACTCATTTTCATAACTTACAAAATAAATCACTGAAAGTAAAAATTATCTTATGAAGACTAAATTAACTATTTAATCTCCTGTTCAACGAAATAACCAACCTTAAATTCCCTCCTTTTTTAATTCCAGGGAGGATAATTACTTATCCTCCCTATTTACAGGGAGGATTTACTTATCCTCCCTCTTTACAGGGAGGATAATTACTTATCCTCTCTATTTACAGGGAGGATAATTACTTATCCTCCCTCTTTACAGGGAGGATAATTACTTATCCTCCCTCTGTGATCCATACAGATTTATCAAATAAATAGTTCTCTAATTTAATTTTAAATTTACATTTATCACTCTCTTAATCAATTTTGAATAAAATAGTTGAAACAAGTAAACTACACCAAGTTGAATATTTGATCTAGGAAGTATTCACAAAAATGTTGCGAAGTTTTCACAAAAATATTGAGAAATTTAGAAACCCAATTACTAATTTTAGAAATCATTAAATTTGCTTATTAAATATTCTTCCATATGCATCAGTAAGAAATAAGAGATTTAAAATCATAATTGATAGTTTTATTGATTTCATTATTATTTTATCCCCCACGGTTGGTTATTTCGTTGAACAGGAACAGGAGATTAAACGATAAATTACTACTTAACCGGGAGTTTTCATGAGGATAATTAAATTGAGGGGAAAACCTACGCTCGTGAGGTTTAGAACCCCAAAAAGGTCTTGGAGGCCCTCGGCTAAGTGGTTTTCCCCTCAATTTAATTATCTTCCCTTAATTCAAGTAACGGAATATGTTCGGAAATGAAAGTAAGTATCATCAAAAACTAATTCTCACACCTTATTGTTAGTTTAAAGTTGACATTTCTTGTTTCGATTTATAGTTTTAACCATTTTTTAAAATAAATTATTGGTGTAGTTTTGTTTAAATCGGCTTGGATTTTAAGATGTATACTTTTGGAAAAGATAACTCTGCAGATTTGGCCCATTTCTAACACTCAGTGGTAGAAAAGGACCAACTGGAACTATTATTCCTGAAGTAGCGTTGAAGACAAAATATCATGTATTCATGGGGCAACTTAGAGTTTAGATAAGTTGGGTTTAAGGTAAAATAGCATTCATCCATGAGCAAACTGGAGGTTAGATAAGTAGCATTCATCCAGAGCAAACTAGAGGTTAGATAAGTAGGATTCATCCAGAGCAAACTAGAGGTTTGATAAGTAGCATTCATCCATGAGCAAACTAGAGGTTTGATAAGTAGCATTCATCCATGAGCAAACTAGAGGTTTGATAAGTAGCATTCATCCATGCACAAACTAGAGGTTAGATAAGAAGCATTCATCTATAGCAAACTAGAGGTTAGATAAGTAGCATTCATCCATGAGCAAACTAGAGGTTAGATAAGTAGCATTCATCCATGAGCAAACTAGAGGTTAGATAAGTAGTATTCATCCATGAGCAAACTAGAGGTTTGATAAGTAGCATTCATGCATGATCAAACTAGAGGTTTGATAAGTAGCATGCATTCATCCATGAGCAAACTAGAGGTTTGATAAGTAGCATTCATCCAGGCGCAAACTAGAGGTTAGATAAGAAGCATTCATCCAGAGCAAACTAGAGGTTAGATAAGTAGGATTCATCCAGAGCAAACTAGAGGTTAGATAAGTAGCATTCATCCATGAGCAAACTAGAGGTTAGATAAGTAGTATTCATCCATGAGCAAACTAGAGGTTTGATAAGTAGCATTCATCCATGATCAAACTAGAGGTTTGATAAGTACCATTCATCCATGAGCAAACTAGAGGTTTGATAAGTAGCATTCATCCATGAGCAAACTAGAGGTTTGATAAGTAGCATTCATCCATAGCAAACTAGAGGTTAGATAAGAAGCATTCACCTATAGCAAACTAGAGGTTAGATAAGTAGCATTCATCCATGAGCAAACTAGAGGTTAGATAAGTAGCATTCATCTATAGCAGAAGTTAGATAAGTAGCATTCATCCATGAGCAAACTAGAGGTTTGATAAGTAGCATTCATCCATAGAAAACTAGAGGTTAGATAAGTAGCATTCATCTATAGCAAACTAGAGGTTAGATAAGTAGTATTCATCCATGAGCAAACTAGAGGTTTGATAAGTAGCATTTATCCATGAGCAAACTAGAGGTTAGATAATTAGTATTCATCCATGAGCAAACTAGAGGTTTTAAAAGTAGCATTTATCCATGAGCAAACTAGAGGTTTGATAAGTAGCATTCATCCATGAGCAAACTAGAGGTTAGATAAGTAGCATTCATCTATAGCAAACTAGAAGTTAGATAAGTAGCATTCATCCGTGAGCAAACTAGAGGTTAGATAAATAGCATTCATCTATAGCAAACTAGAGGTTAGATAAGTAGTATTCATCCATGAGCAAACTAGA